CCCCATCATTTTATAAAGATAAACTAAAATCATTTGTAAGAACTGTTGTTTTGATTGCACTGTTGGTTACTTTACCTGTAGGAATCTGGGTCAGTTTTCGCAGCACACACACCAGCATGTCCATGACAAACACACTGTCCACCAATGCTGATGTCTTTTATACTATAGTAGTACTAGATAACAGAAGAAATAAGATTTGTAGAAAAATAGCAGAAGCAATCTATTTTCAAAAAGTTAGATACTTTTATGGATGCAAATTGGATACTAATTATTTGTTATGAATTATAGATTTAGCCCAAGTATATTCTCCAAACATGTATTACTTAATGTAAATCATTAGAAGGAGACTGGTAGCAACTTTCCATAAGAGCAAAAGCCTTTTAGTAACATTTGTTAATCAGAAGAGATGTTACCAGACTTCTGTTTTTTTTGCCTCTTGGCTATAATGGCTCTCCTACTACAATACTAATAAATCATGCATATGTTTTGTTTTCTACACTTTCTATATTTTAATGTTTTTTCACAGATGAAAGAGACAAAAAACAAGAAACAGTGGAAGGAAAGGAAGGGAATTGTATTAATATTGATAATAAACAGGTAAAGAGGTAAAAAGCTATACCTATGGGAAAGAAAAAAAAGACATGTTACAGAGAAAAGTTGCAGCAATACAAGACTACAGGCATGAATGGAAGGCTGAAATCTAACTAAAATATCAGGTTGGGTATAAATCATCATGGAAAAAAAATCTATCGGTGTGGTTGCCAAAAGTGAACAATAACTTGATGGCACATCAATCCTTAGAACAAACTCTATTATATTACAGAGCTATAGAAGACTAAGGGGGAATATTTAAAAAATCATTTTCCCCTCGTTATTCTTTTAATGATCAGTATAATGTCCTTTACACTATTAATTCAAACACTTGGTCTTTCTTCTTATTTAACCAATTCTTTTCCGTTACTGTTTGTAGAGATGCTTTGAGCCAAATTAAAATCAAGGCTTCAAGCTTCTAAAAATTCACATTGGAACAAATTTCCCTGAATTAAGTGGAACTTCTGAATAGATTAATAAAGAATGGCACTGAATTCCTATATGCTACAATTTGAATCAGGCTCATTGGACCCAAATAATTCCAAGTAAATTAGTACATTCACTCATTTATTCAGTACATTCAGTACATTCAGTACATTAGTACATTCACTCATTTATTCAGAGTAAATACAGAGTAAATACATAAGTCATTAGTAATCAGAATGCTACTCAAAGAATTAACAGTTTATTATTTTGCTACCACTCCCTACCATCAGGTTATTTGATGATAAAGTTATATCCTGTCTGGGCTGACTCACTGAAAATGTCAATAAGAATGATATATATGTATATATAAGAAACCAAGATATTCTTTACCCTACCAGCAATGTACTGATGCATAGTTCAAGAAGGTGAAAATGAACCAGATTTGCTGCTTTATTCACAGTGACCAGAAAAAGAAAAATGGATTATCTTAAAAATTCTATTTGTATCTATATCTATAAATCTGATTTATATATTCCTAATTATATAAAAAATGCTTCATATTTTCTAATAGTTCTATCCAGGGTTTTTTTTCTCATAGAACGCCCAGAACGGAGTTCCGGCACCTTTTTTGGATGGAACCTTGTAGGGTAGGCAAAGTGGGTTGTATGACGTGTGTGAGTTCCGGCACCTTTTTTTTTTTTTTTTAGAAAAAAAGCACTGGTTTTATCATGTTGGATTATGAAGCAAATTTTCTCCTTAGATCACTTGCCTGGATTTTATTCTGTCCCTGAAAAATATTGAAAATATGCATCACATCTTTGCTAGCAAAAAAAAGTAGCTTTAAGCAAAATACATATCTTTCAAGAAAAAGGAAATCTGAGTCATCTTTGCCTCCTGGATTCATGTTTCTTTAAGACTGTCCAAAATAGGGACTTTCCAATTTTCAGGGGATCACAGCACAGTTATAATAACTTTGCAACTAACGGCTGGCTAACTCTACCCTGATACCACTTTTACCAGTATCCATGTAGACTTCTGTGGAGAAAAGCAGTTCATTAGGTATGAATGCTTAATGATACAGCAATCTTTTTTTCTGTCTATAAAATATATTTGCTTTAACATCCTC